GCAAAAGTAGAATCCCTTTGTCAGGGTTTAATTCAATTACAACTCAGTCCTTTGTGACAGTTTGAACGTAGAAGGGAACGTGGGCTTTGAAATCTAGGATTAAGGTGGTGTTTATGTTTTGCTTTCATTAATCTCAAACTAATTGTTTACTCTTAAGGTGGTTTATTTGGTAAACAGTGTAAAAGAAAAAAAAAAAAAAAAAGAGTGAGTAGATTATTTTTGATAGGTGCCTCCCACATCGATGATTGATCAATTTTTTTATCCGTCTTTGTCTTTTTTTATTATTACGGGAAAGCTCCAATGAGTAGTCTCCACAAATCTCTCCACGTTATCGCCAATCCCACCGTTGGATATCATCCACACCTCGATCCCTGCGTCGACGTTTCCAAAAGTCTTTCCATAAAAAGTGCTTTTCCGAACTTCTTCTTCCTTCTTCCTCTTCTCTCTCGTCCTTTCTTCACCGCAACTCTTCACCACCTTCGACGACAACAACAAACAAACGGACAATCCCTCTCCTTCCAAACGCGCCGTTTCTCTTTCTCCCTCGAATCCACGCTTCTCTCACTTCCATCGAGAAACAAAGCCACCTAACCACTAAAATGTAGCGAGCAATAACAAAAACAAAAGCGCAGAATCGGTTAACTATGGCTTTCCAAGACCATCTCCAGCACGAAATAGCGTTCCAGCGTTTCACGGAGGAGCAAGAGCTGAGCGAGGGAAGAGATATGCAGCAGAGGCTCCCACCGACATGGCTCAACAGCGTCAACGCGGCGCAGCAGCGGCAGCAGAATTTCCTTGACGGCGCCGCCGAGAAAAGCGTGGATCGGAACCGGGGCGAGAGCAATTGCGAGTCGGAGGATTTGAGGGAATACAAAGCGGACATTCTTGGACACCCTCTCTACGATCAACTGTTATCGGCGCACGTGTCGTGCCTCAGGATTGCCACGCCCGTCGACCAGCTTCCCAGGATCGACGCGCAGCTTCAGCAGTCGCAGCGCGTGGTGGAAAAGTACTCGGCACTCGCGAATAACGGCGTCGTCGATGAGAAGGAGCTTGATCAGTTCATGGTTTGTGTTTATTTGTTTATCTCTTTTCTTTCTCCTTACTAAATTAGCAAACCTGCTATCTTCTTTGTACTTCAATTCCGTGTGTTTTCTTGTCGCACTACTTTAACCCACTTCTCAGGAGCACTTCTACTTCTAAGAATCTTAATTTCATTCAATTCCTCACTTTGCTTCTAAGTGCTACTCTGAATAAATTATTACCTAATTTCCGATTCCGTAATCTCAATTAATTTCTATGTATTTAACTTTAACAATTTTTGTAAACAAAGGTTCAATCGTGGGATTTCATTATTTCTTATCTTTCTGATTTATGGAATCATTTTGGCTTTTGTGTCTATCCTCATTCATTAACTCATTTTTTTATTACGGTCTTGCTGCTTTTGTTAAACGATAAATTTTCATGTCAAGATTTTTATCATGGACAAGCTAAGAAGAAATCAGAAAATGAATAATGGGAATGATGGTTTTAGAAGTTTGATTCTGGATGGATGGTGGTACGATGCATTATGTGGTGAATCTGATTTGTCATGGAGTGGCTCCCCTTGAGTGTTCTCATGCTGCTGCTTCCTACAATAACCTTTAGGAGTGCTTTATGGAATCTTTTCTGTTAATGCTGTCATGATCTTCCCACTTGTTCACTTACTCTTTTTTCTTTCCTTTCCCCTTTTTGCTAAACTTTGATGGTTCAGTTCTTTAATTCTTATGGAATATGTTCTGAGCCAAAGTTGAAGCTCTCGTCAAGTNCTCCTATTTAACTTTTCAAACTGGAAAAAAACTATAACAATAATTATGTTATAAACACAATTAAATGTATATTTGTAATATAATCAATTATCTTCATTTTTCAAAGATGATTATGTTGTTATTTTTTATTAATATCTTTATTTTTATGTAGTATAATAAAATAAATAATTAAGAGGCAATGTTTTATTTATCTCTGGTTACCAGAGGGGAGAAAGTATGGAAATTTTGAGAAAGTTATATTTTTGTTTTCCTGTAAAAATAAAGAGAAAGATCATAGTAAGGGTGTAAAAATTGATTTGACATATAATATAATTCATTCATTATACAAATTTAAAAAGAACTTGTTCAAAAATGAAAAACATATGAAGAATCTAAAGTAATCCCACAAATTATTACGGGTTTCTTTATTAATGACAAATAAAATTATTAATTATCATTAAAATTGTTTACTTTTTATATTCTTTCATGTAATTTAAATTATTTTATTTTTCAGTTTTTTTTATTTCCTAACTTTATACTACACTCTCCAATTTAAACAAAATATAACAAAATATCATAAATAGGTTCACTAGTTCTTAAAAAAAAGTATGGAATAAATTGTATTTTAATTTATTAATAAATTGTTTAAGTTATCCTACTTAATCTACAGTCCGTGTAGACTGATGAAAGGGTGCGAGTTATATAGCCCTTCAGAACTCTTTATCTTCTTATTCTTTTACTTTGTACTTAAATTTCTTTCTCTAAGTGGATTTTCTTGCATGCACTTAGTATTTTTTTAATTGTTATAGAATTTTGGTAGCTTTGAAAAAATTTATTATTATGTTTCTTTATTCATGAAAATTTTAACTTTAACATATTTATTTAATGCAAATCTCAATATTGTATTTGTTTGGTTTATTTAATTTTATTATGAAATGTTGAAATAAGATTATTATTACTTTTTCTTTTAGATTTTGTTTATGTGACTGACCTGAAGACCCGTAGGCCAAACATTAAGTCAAAATTGAACAAACTAATTCACACTACCATTTTTATTTATTGGATTTGTTGATTGTGATTGTGTTTGGATGAATATTTTAAAAGGACAATTTATTTTCATAAGTAATTTGAAATGATTTATAGCAAGTTAATATTGTTTAAACGAAATTCTTAAAAAAATTGAAATTCTAAACATTGATGAAAATAATTCGATTCTTTAAAGCTAAATAATTTTAATTTTCCCCTTTAAAAAAAAGTAAAACTTTAATTGTATTATGATTTCATCTTTCAAATTCATGAACCGTTTTTTAGCTCAACCTCAATTGAATGCACTTGGGTTCGATTCGGGTCCATTCTCAACTAGACATTACATTTCTGAACTTATGTTTATAACTTTTTTTATATATAGGTAGTGTTATTTTTCAATTAACTATAGTTAGAGTTTTTTTTTTTCATATAAGTAGTAGTTTTCAGATTATGACAGGTAAAACTTTTTCTGTTAACACATACTTAGCTTTGAGTTGATGTTATTTAGGATCTTTTTCATCAACACTTAATTTATAGTTGGGATTTATTTAATAAAACAATAATATAATTTAGACTTATTTTTTATGGACATAAACTATATATTTTTATCGATATATGTAATAATTATTTCCTCTTCGTATATATACAAAGGGTTTTATTTAAATAAAAAATTAAAATCGTTATCAGCTACGAGTGATGGTGGACCGGTAGATGAGTGGAGATTTCGCTGCTATATGTTGTAATGATAACTTGATGTTAAAAATTGAAGTTTAATTTAATTTTATAAAATGGATGTAAAAGTATATTTATAATTATTTATAATATACATATGAAGGAAAAATATGAAATGGTTTGAATGGGTGATGAAGTAATGATAGCATGGATGGATGGAGATGAAGATGGTTGAGGGGTCCAGCGGGGTCCAGCGGAGTGCATGGTTAAGATAAGCCATGTGTACGAACCTGATTCACTCCTACTTTATTTCGCACTCCCAAATCTTGGAACACACAGTTACTGGTGAAGTGGTCCATGAATCCTGGGAGTGACGCGTGTCAGTCGTGGGTGCTGAGGTCGCTGTCGGGTTGGGTAGTGGCTAGCCCAAGTTCAGGAACGCCAACGTCCACTCTGCTCGGTGTGGGCCTCACCTTCACTGCCACTACCGCACCCTCTCATACGTCGTTTTGGGTTTCTGGGACCTCTGACACCGACCCATTCCACCACAAATAAAAGACTCTGTTTCATTTTTACAACGCCTCAGTGCTTTTCGATTCAAGAGATGGAAACTGGAAAAGCAACTTGTCACTTCAACCCATCAAAAAACTTTCCCCAAACCAACATCATCAAAACTTTTCCCAAATTCATTTTTCATCTTTCCCAGATGTCTTCAGCTTAGTAGCAAAACAGACTCATTCATGGAAATACGTTAACCCTCAACTTCATGCCTATTTTAAGTATAGCAATAATTACTCAAATTAAAATATGCTATGCTGCACCTCACCGATTCACGTCAAATTCAATTACAAACTTCACACTTCATTCAAAACCATAATTCCACGTCACAAAATCACTCCTATAATAGGGGTAATATTTTTTTTTTGTCCATGCACAAAATAGAAACATGTATAATACAACTTAAACGGATAACAAATAACTAACCTTTAGATATTTAAGAGGCTTTATTGTTTGGAACAGAACAGTTATCTTAATTTTGTTTTTCCATTGTTTATTTATTGGTGTTAACTGTTTGGACCGGTGAGGACAGTTTAGTCTGGTGTTGACTCTATCAGTTCAACTTGTTCTTGAAATAACAGCAGCAAAAGTAGAATCCCTTTGTCAGGGTTTAATTCAATTACAACTCAGTCCTTTGTGACAGTTTGAACGTAGAAGGGAACGTGGGCTTTGAAATCTAGGATTAAGGTGGTGTTTATGTTTTGCTTTCATTAATCTCAAACTAATTGTTTACTCTTAAGGTGGTTTATTTGGTAAACAGTGTAAAAGAAAAAAAAAAAAAAAAGGAGTGAGTAGATTATTTTTGATAGGTGCCTCCCACATCGATGATTGATCAATTTTTTTATCCGTCTTTGTCTTTTTTTATTATTACGGGAAAGCTCCAATGAGTAGTCTCCACAAATCTCTCCACGTTATCGCCAATCCCACCGTTGGATATCATCCACACCTCGATCCCTGCGTCGACGTTTCCAAAAGTCTTTCCATAAAAAGTGCTTTTCCGAACTTCTTCTTCCTTCTTCCTCTTCTCTCTCGTCCTTTCTTCACCGCAACTCTTCACCACCTTCGACGACAACAACAAACAAACGGACAATCCCTCTCCTTCCAAACGCGCCGTTTCTCTTTCTCCCTCGAATCCACGCTTCTCTCACTTCCATCGAGAAACAAAGCCACCTAACCACTAAAATGTAGCGAGCAATAACAAAAACAAAAGCGCAGAATCGGTTAACTATGGCTTTCCAAGACCATCTCCAGCACGAAATAGCGTTCCAGCGTTTCACGGAGGAGCAAGAGCTGAGCGAGGGAAGAGATATGCAGCAGAGGCTCCCACCGACATGGCTCAACAGCGTCAACGCGGCGCAGCAGCGGCAGCAGAATTTCCTTGACGGCGCCGCCGAGAAAAGCGTGGATCGGAACCGGGGCGAGAGCAATTGCGAGTCGGAGGATTTGAGGGAATACAAAGCGGACATTCTTGGACACCCTCTCTACGATCAACTGTTATCGGCGCACGTGTCGTGCCTCAGGATTGCCACGCCCGTCGACCAGCTTCCCAGGATCGACGCGCAGCTTCAGCAGTCGCAGCGCGTGGTGGAAAAGTACTCGGCACTCGCGAATAACGGCGTCGTCGATGAGAAGGAGCTTGATCAGTTCATGGTTTGTGTTTATTTGTTTATCTCTTTTCTTTCTCCTTACTAAATTAGCAAACCTGCTATCTTCTTTGTACTTCAATTCCGTGTGTTTTCTTGTCGCACTACTTTAACCCACTTCTCAGGAGCACTTCTACTTCTAAGAATCTTAATTTCATTCAATTCCTCACTTTGCTTCTAAGTGCTACTCTGAATAAATTATTACCTAATTTCCGATTCCGTAATCTCAATTAATTTCTATGTATTTAACTTTAACAATTTTTGTAAACAAAGGTTCAATCGTGGGATTTCATTATTTCTTATCTTTCTGATTTATGGAATCATTTTGGCTTTTGTGTCTATCCTCATTCATTAACTCATTTTTTTATTACGGTCTTGCTGCTTTTGTTAAACGATAAATTTTCATGTCAAGATTTTTATCATGGACAAGCTAAGAAGAAATCAGAAAATGAATAATGGGAATGATGGTTTTAGAAGTTTGATTCTGGATGGATGGTGGTACGATGCATTATGTGGTGAATCTGATTTGTCATGGAGTGGCTCCCCTTGAGTGTTCTCATGCTGCTGCTTCCTACAATAACCTTTAGGAGTGCTTTATGGAATCTTTTCTGTTAATGCTGTCATGATCTTCCCACTTGTTCACTTACTCTTTTTTCTTTCCTTTCCCCTTTTTGCTAAACTTTGATGGTTCAGTTCTTTAATTCTTATGGAATATGTTCTGAGCCAAAGTTGAAGCTCTCGTCAAGTTTTCTCAACCTTTACTTCCTCATTAATGTACGTTTCTGACTTCGCCAAGTACAATAATGAGGGAATACGGAGTTTGGTGATTCTGTACGTATCAACTGGACGTAGTGTTTGTCCTGTAGTGTATGGTAGAATCAACTATAATTAAGTTGGTGATTTTCAACTTTGATTCTGACTTGATATTCACTTTACACATAATGATTGGAGGATGCGAAATATATAGTACACTCCATTTGTATGATGGAAACTCTAATTAATAACATATTTGTGTTCATCTAAACTGTATTTAACATTTATGATCCGTTGCACTTGTCGTCGTCTTTTCTTAGTTTTTAATTATCTGAAGCTCCTTTATGAGTTTTGCTAGTATTTGGTTGTTGCAGACCCATTATGTCCTGTTGCTCTGTGCATTTAAAGAACAACTGCAACAGCATGTCCGTGTTCATGCCATGGAGGCAGTGATGGCTTGTTGGGATCTGGAGCAGTCTCTGCAAAGCTTGACAGGTAAATTTTCAGCATCTTTTTTTTGGCTCCCTAGATGTTACCCTGTCTTTTTTCTGCTCATTATTACTCTCTCGGTAAACAAAACAAGGAGAGAGAAAATTAATTAATTAATTAATGAAAAAGGAGATCAAAACAGACCACACACTCCACCTCCTCCAATACTTTCACTGCATTCACTGTCTTTCTCCATAGAAGAGGAAAAAGAAAACTAGGAGGAGATAGATAAGAAAAACAAAACTTAGATAAGCAAAACTACAGTGTGTATACCTACTAGGTATCTTTAATACAAATTAATATTAAGCAAAACTACACTGTGTATGCCTACTGGGTTTATATTTCAGTAAGAAAAGAAAATAATTTAAAACTTTGAAATAAAAAATTGAAAATTTCATACATTAACAATAATTCAATATGAATTATTGTTTACCTTTCTTATTGTATCTCATACTACATTGCAGCTGAAAACTCTATCAAAACTCGTAAACTAACTAATTCAGATTTTTTAGAGTAATAATAGGATATTATCATATTAAAGAAGAAAATCATTTTTTTTTAAATAATGACCCATCACATTTAATTATTAGGATATATTATCTATCGCAGTATAAAATATATCCACATCCAACTCGTCTTATGTCCACATTTCTTCTCAAACATTGAACACATAAAAGTGTCCAAATGCTAAGAAATTAAGTTTCACCGGTGGAAAATGGAGTTAAGTATTTTATTATAGAATAGAAAGGTGAAAGAGAAACGACGAAGAACGAAAAGTTAAGGCTGTTCTTACTCAGATCCCAGGGTGAAGGGGCTTTGAATAATTGGTGACAGTGAAGGAAAAATGAGTGGGTAAAATGAACCGAGAAGAAAAAAAAATGCAAAACTTGATAAAGAAATAGCATATTAATCTATGGCAAAAGGAAAAACTAAAGGAATAATATTTTTGACGAATTAAAATGTTCTCATTCCTCCCACTCATGAAAGTGGGACTAGTGGCATTTTTTTCTTCTTTCATAAATTTTCATTGAATTAGGTTTTAATTTTAGAAATATCAGACTTTAGAAATGTCTTTACATAAGATAAAATGTTAAAAAGTATTTCGATATACAAAAATATTAAATATAAAAATATTTTAGTCATATAGTTTAAAAAATGCAAGTCAAATATAATTTTTTTTTATAATTAACCGTGAGAAAAACAAATATTTTTTTCTTGATAAAAAATTGTAATCTTTGATTGTATTGTCAATGGAAGTTAAATTAATGAAGTGGAAAGAAGAGAATAAAAGGGTTCTTATTTGCCAGTGTTGAAATTGATACCACATAAAATTTTAGTAAGAGATGTACAGATATTATTGCTGAAATGGTAAATATACCTGAATCTTTTGTTGATGTATTCTGATTTCAAAATATTATTCCCATGATTGCTTTATTTGAGATTGGTTTTATTTTAAGTATGTCAAGACATAATAATCCTTTAGAATGAGAAAAGAAAATAGTAAAAACTGTAATACAAATGTTATGTGAAATAAATCATATAAAAAATAATGAGATAAAAAAAGAGATTAAATACTGTTACTCCTTTAATGTACAAGCATGTGAATATTGTCGAATTTATGTTCCCTTAACATCCCCACGTCAAACTTAACATGCAAAGCATTGAGTGAAAATCGATAAAAGCCCGTTTCTTGCTCTTTCAAACGATATGTCCAACTTTTACCATAACTGGATGCTCTAAAATAGACCCTATTAATAACCCCACAGCTTCTTCCCACGAATTAAATTACTTGTCCTCTTCGTCGTGTATTTTCTTTGTCACTCAAAAGAAATATGGGTGGAAATAACTAATAAATAAGAGTGAGAAGGAAAGATAATATTTTTTTACGGCATGTTAATTTTTAATGATTAAGAGATAGAAGGAAGGAGAGAAGAGATACAACATATTACCAATTATTAGTAATAGTTTAATTATCAAAACGGTGCATCCAAGTTATATTAAATGAATTGTCGACACATTACTAATTATTAGTAATAGTTTAATTATCACAGTTCAGTAATTTTTGTAATTAATAATGTGATTGACTACATAAATTGTACATCCAACTTTTATTCTTAAAGGAAGCACTCCATCCGTTTGAAAAGAGTTTGGAAGAGTTAATAGTAATAAGCATATATCCTTAAAAGTATTCTTCTCAGAAAGCAATGATAGAGCGAGATTACATATAAATAGTTGAATGATGAGCTTAGATTCTGGTGTAAAGGTTATTGTGTATTTATATTTGCGTCTTTGATTAGTTATAAAATGAAGGTGATGAGGATGAATATTGAAATATAATGGATGAGGATGCAGGTGTCTCTCCCGGAGAAGGTACGGGTGCAACAATGTCAGACGATGAAGATGATCAGGCAGAGAGCAACGGCAACCTTTACGAAGGGAGCTTCGACGGCGGCGAAAGCCTTGGGTTTGGTCCTCTTGTCCCCACTGAGACTGAAAGATCCTTGATGGAGCGAGTGAGGCATGAACTGAAGCATGAATTGAAACAGGTAATTGTTAAAAGTATCATTAGTTTATTTTTGTCTGAAGAGCAGAAAATAGTGTTAAATTTGTTTGTGTATCATCAAGGGTTACAAGGAGAAGATTGTGGACATAAGAGAAGAAATTCTACGAAAGAGACGAGCAGGGAAGCTTCCAGGGGACACCACATCCCTTTTGAAAGCTTGGTGGCAAGCACATTCTAAATGGCCATACCCCACTGTAAGTTTGGACATACATCTCAATCATAATATATTATACTTGTTTCCATTTTTATATTTTAAATAATATATATATATTATGATAAAATAAGAAGATAGATATATTTTTGTGAGCATGACGGTATTTTCAGGAGGAAGACAAGGCTAGACTGGTGCAGGAAACAGGGTTGCAATTAAAGCAGATAAATAATTGGTTCATAAATCAAAGGAAAAGGAACTGGCATACTAATAACCCTTCATCTTCGAGTAACACCAAAACCAAGCGCAAGAGGTACCTTAATTCTCAATATTAATTATCTTATGTTTGAGTTTTATGTACTCATCTTTTAATTCATCTAATTTATTCCAATGCAATATATCAATTGCTAGTTTAATTTTTATATTTTGGATGTCGCTAACGTATCACATCATTAAATAACAAACATTTTTTTTAATATTTTTTATTTAACTTAATCTGTCTTGTAGCTTTATTTTTATATGTATACATGTCGATTAATTTATTTATTTAACGCAGAATTATGTAAGAGACATCTCTACAATTTAAAAATGAGGCGTGATCCATGCATAAACCAAATTGCTCATCGATCGATTATATTCAAAACATAAGGATTCACTTTTAGTTGATTTATTTATTTATACTAATTTTTTCCAGAAAATAAGACTTATCGATTCACGGTGAGTCAAGCCAGGTTATGTTTTTTCTAGCCCACCAAAAGAACCAACTTATTTTACTAATTCTTTTTCTCAACCTGTCATGTTCAAGTTGAGCAAGTAATTTCACTTAAATTTACACCTCTATTAATATCAGCAACAATATTAAAAATATATCATGGGGAGAAGTGATTAATGAGTAGCATTTTATGTGGATAGGAATAATTGCATTAATAAAAATTTAAAAAGTAAATCGTGTTTGAAAATATTGTTATATCTTTTATGCCTACATCTGATTGCTATTTTTGGTTGGTAGCAGTGCAGGAGAAAGCAGTAATCAGAGCTTCATGTGAATGGTCGCATATTTTGAACAAAAGTTATTGGTAATTATTCTTCTTTTATGCGTGGTCGTGGGATTCTTAGATCTTTACAGTTAGCATGAACCTGAAATGATGAACTCTGGATCTAAAGGTAAATTCATGATAAAATTAATCACTGTTTACAGAAAATTAGCCCTTCCTGGTATTGTTGTATATGAGGCTGCTGCCACTTCATTTCTGATATTGAGGGAGGCACAATTAATCTTTTCCATTTAATGGGCAGCATGCTGATACATATATATATAATTTTCTTTTTCTGCTTCTTTCAAAAAATTATCGACGAATTAGTATGATTCCGTTTACAACGTGAGTTTGTGATTAGAATATGACTGAATCAGAATTTGCAAATTAGTTTCATAATGAGCCCAAAAACATAAATTTGTAGTAATACTTTGAATCTCAGCCAAAAGTCGGATATTCTAATTATAGTGGTTAAACAAAATGGAGGACTAAATCTTAAGCAGTAAGCACCTAAATGTAGTACAAAAATCCAATATATTTCATCAATTACTATATTTAACAGTTCACATTCGTCAAGTATGTATTTGATTGACCTTGACAACAAGATTTAATTAAACTTTGTGCTTTAGGTTTTAATGACATCGTAACTCTGATTCATGTTTTAGGTTTATTGTCAAATGAATTATAATATCGATAAAGACATAAAAGAACGGTTAATTATTAGTACATCAAGTTTGTAAACCGTCAACTTATAGTATAAAAATTGAATAGGTCTTATTCATGACATAATACAATTTTTTTATTTTTAGCATAAGCCAAATATAGTGGAGGTTTTTTCTCTATATTAAATTTATTTACACACAGCCAATAGATTGGTGTGAATCATGCATAATATAATATTTCGCGATCATTCCATTGTGGTTTTCGCGTGGCTTCAAAACTTTTACGTAATTTTTTAAGGAGTACATATTTTATTCGAGATTTTAAATATAGATAGTTTTTTCTTTCTTTCTTTGAACCTCCATCTGTAGTAGTTACGATAATAATGAATATAATACGTTCCTTAGGTATTAAACAAATTTTATGGGAGCTTTACTAAGAAGCTCAACTTTTTACTTGATGAACCTAATCATGTATAACAATATAATGAGCTTTCTTCATTGTACATAATTATGTTTTTGAAATTAGTTTAAATATAATTACTTCTATATATAAGGTAACTAATTTTTCTACAACTATCCCATTCAGTTCTTCTTGAATGCATCTTCCATCAAACAATATTTTAAAGAATTTATTTTTGATAATATTTTAATTACAATATTAAATAATTATCAGATTTTGTATAAAATTTAAAAAATACTAACACAGAGTAAGTTCCGTGTTGAAGAGGTCTGTGTTAGCATAAATAAAAATTAAAGGCATGGAAGTTGCAGGAGAGGGGACAACTTTCCAATTGCTTTCCTTGAACAATAGGAATGACGAATGAAAAGGATTTGGCAAACATAAACCAAAGGAAAAGTATAAATTATTTGGGACGCGTATACTTTTGCAGTGAAATCCCTTCTGGAATGTGTGACTTTGCGTGAAGAATCCAAATCCTTTTCTTCCATCTCTATCATTGTTCAAACCAAACTTTATTTTTCTTGGTGGGTACCCTCTTCCACTACTTTTCTTTTCATTGTCATTCAGAAAAGTTTAGCAAACTAAAATCAGAATTTTATTAAGTGGGAAAAGAACGATATACACGATCTTCACACAATGAATGATAATTACAAGATTAAGAACACATCGATATTCATGTAAACAAGTTTAGGCAACAACAGTAGATGTTTAAGAAAAGCAGAAGATGCATGCAAGTATGTCATGATTCATTTTGGCGACGTCCTGGAGCAGCAAACCTTGCTGAGAAGCTGTAAGGCATGGCTTCATCTTCACTCTGAGCGCCACTATTGAAGTTGAGATTGTAGCTGTGTTCATCATACTGGAACCTGTTTCTTTGCTGCTTCATCTTCTTCCCATACCCACTTATCTTTCTTATGAATGTCTTCCACTTGGGACCGGCAATCACTTCTGAAGCCTCCTTTGCCTTCCTTAGCTTCTCCACCACCCATGACTCTCCCTCCCCACTTTGTTCATCAAGTAGCCCTTTACCCTCTTCATCACCTTCTCTCCACCATTTCTTCAAGTCAAAACCTCTGAAGCAGCCACACCCACATCCACTGCTGCTGGCTTCATCGAAATCTTCCATCTCCAATGGCCTTGCCTCGTGAGAAGCCATGTTTTCTGGTTGTGGCGGCTTTTAGAATTGAGAAAATATTTATAGGACGAGAGAGATTGAGGAGGAAAAGTCAAAGAATGTTAGGAGACACGTTTGAACTTTGACTGTGGAAGTTTCCCAGCAAATATCGACTTTCTATTTTTCATACAGAGATTGATTTATCATGATATTGTGTGTGTTTATTAAGTGTTATAATTAAGAGTTGGGTTTTATGAAAGGTGGAAAAAGTGATTAAAATATATACCGATGTGATTTGATGAAAACATTAAATGTGAAAGTTATTTAATTACATAATTTAAGTAGTAAAATATTAAAATAGAAATGGAAAATTATAAACAATTGAGTTTTGTAGAACTTCATCATCAAAACAAAATTTTAAAAAAGAAATGACATGATGAAGTTGAGTTAAAACAAAGCAAAACTAAATAATAAGGAAAGAGTAAACAATCATAATTTATTACTAGCCTCGAAGTGAAGTTATTATTGTAATTAATATTTTAAATGACTTATCAACACGGCGCTATGATCAATCATGGCAAGAGTAAACACACCTTTGACCAAAACAAAAACCTTCCACGCGATATTCACAATGAATGCACGCGATTTAAAAAATAAAGGTACAACTTTTTACAATGTTAACAAGCAATTTCAAAATATTGACAAATTGTTCTCTTTCCTTTCTTTTTCACACTCAAATGACACGTTTCGTGTTGAGGGTTGGAAGTGATAGAAAATATGTAGTAAAAGTAAAAAACTACACTTATTGAAACCCTCGGAGGTAACTATCTGTCTGAACCAATTAAGGAATCATTTCATCCCCTATAATATGGATTAAAAACACAAATTAATGAAAAAATCATTTGTTGAGTTGAGTTTGCACTGGAGATTGTTGCAGCTGTTGGTTTTGTCCTTTGGGAGAGTTCTGTGCTTTGGGAGAGATCTTGGCCGCTATAGATCGCAATTCACTGGCAATCTCAGTGAAGTTTGGTCTCTCTGATGGCTCTGATGACCAACACCTCTCCATCAACAATGTCCATTCTGGATCACAATGGTCTGGAATAGGAGGGCGTAAAGTGTTGCTCACTATACCACCTGAATTTTTTTTAGCAACCCCATATGCAAACGATCAATTTAACTTGAACCTATATAATTAAATCACGATTGGATTCAGCAGGAAAGTTACCAATAATAGCACCATAGTGCAAGTCAGCGTAGGGCTCCAATCCGGTCAAGAGTTCCCACATCACGATGCCAAATGAAAATACGTCAACCTAACACGACAAATATAAAAACACAGAACTTGCACTTAGAGGGTGAGAAACTATGAAGTTATCAAAACAAATCAACCATTAGAATTGATTGAGTTAAAGCATAAACCTTCTCTGAAACAAGGCTGCTGCTTCCGTTAAGCAGTTCTGGAGCCATCCACGGCAGAGTTCCTCTCACCCCACCAGAGATCAGTGTCTGACATTTTACTTTGGACAGACCCAAGTCTCCAACCTGATATCATATGAAAAGTGTAAAAAACAAACTGACTAATGAAGGATCAATCAATCAATTGCACCATGCTACAAGTAGAGCTGTTTTTTGACGCAAAAAAGGAAGTGTGAAGATCTTGCAAAAAAGGAGCTAGGAGGAAATTCTAAATCATTAAGTGCTGGGGTTACTGATCCAATGCAAATTGATGCCACAGCCAGTACAAGATCTTCTGGTATTATTTTGTTGATGGATCGGTAGTTTGACACAGTAGTCATGTTTTGTAGCTTTGGCTCTCAGATAAAATCTAGGTTTTATAGATTGTTCCTCACATTGAGAGGAAAGATTCATTTGACCATCCCATGATTAAATCCTGACAGAATAGGGGCTGAGTTTCAAAACTTAACAACTGAAGAGAACAAGAACCCTCTTGCTTTTTCGGGAAAAACACAATAAAATTCTTAAAATTTGGTTTTCAGACCTAATTCCGCACACAAAACCTATTTAAAAGGTGAAGACTACTCAAGTTTTATAAGATCTATTTAAGTCATATTTCTAATCAGTATGGAACTAAATCATCACTCTTGAAACTGCATTTAAGATAGTCCCCAAAGAGATCGTAACTAAGGTAGGCTAGAAGTAACTGCAATTTTCAGAGTAAGGTTTTAAACATTAAAGCAATATGGACATTTCCAACCAAAACGTCAGCCATGAGTATGAAGATGAGCAAGTTAGGTTGTTTTAAAAAAAAAAACACAAACTGTACGCATTTTAAACGCTAATGCAACACACGAATATGCTAATGGCTTATGATATAAAGATAATTTATTCATCAAACCCCAAGAAGGTAAAATTATCCATGCACGGAAACTACCAAGAGAACAGAATCAGCAGACATAAGAGCATCGAAAATATCAATCAGAGAAATTACAGCAGAGCCAAGGAGCCATGACTTTCAATGGTAAACATCATTTTTCCGACGAGAGGCAAAGTGATGCCAACTAGTACGCAATGGATAATCTTGGGTGAAAAGCCAGTCCTACAAATTCATAGGTGAAAGTTATATCCTTAGTTTTAAGTGAGGTGCATCGGCATCTGCAAGTTGATGACCCGTCTTCAAAGGAATACCCATTATTCTCTGTTTTGTGTTCACGATACCCATCCCAAATATTGGAGTGCAAATCTGCAATCACTAATTTCCCTCCAAAAATAATGCTATAGATTTCTAACTAATTTATTACTTTCTACTTTTGCATATTAAGTTTCACCTATGTCATCTGCGATGCACTCATTTAAAACATGGTCTATACAACAAATATAATTATTCAAACAATATATAAGATATGACATGTGTAAGGTACATATCCATATATTGTAAAAATTAAATCATAATATATAATGGTAATTCTGAAATCCAAATTATAAACATACTTCTGGACATTAGTACAAACAAAATAAAGTAATCGGC